CAAACGTTAGAATGTCCAGGGTGGCATCAACAGTGAAGGATGCTCCTTTAAGAATGCGGGTAGAACCTTCCAACAGGCCTCTGTTGTTTTCTGGTAACATCTGAATGAGCTTTCTTATCCAGACGATGGAAGCCCTGGAAGCGATAGATGCAGTAGCCGCCGCCTTGACAATCATGGCGATGGACTCATGTAATCTCTTCTGTGTGGCATCAGCCTTTTTATCGATAGGATCACGTATGGAACCGTGTCCATCCTCCGAGACTAGACCTGTTGACTGGATAGCTGCCACGGGACTGTCCACTGGTGGAGCCTGTAACAGTTCATTGGCATAACTGGGCAAGGCATACATCTTTTTTACAAAACCTGGGAACTGCTTGTTAGCAGTTGGCTTGTCCCATGCCACCCTTAACTGACGTTCAAAATAGTCCGGAAAGGGAAAGACATTTTCCACATACTCCTCAGGAGGGAAGAACTCCTGGTCACCTCTAGATCTGGATTTTAGCTTAGATCTTGAAGAGGCCGATCTTTAAAGCCTTCATGGCTTTAGACAAGAAATAATGGTAGTCCTTCGCATTAAAAAAGCGGCTAGCCTGTTCAGGCATCTTAAGATCCTCTACCTCCTCATCTGAAAGGAATTCCCCTTCCTCTCTGTCCTCCTGCATGGACCCAACAGACTCCTCATCTTCCCATTGCTCCTCTCTAGAACCCCTACTGGGTCTTGGGGGTGCTTTTTGGGCAGCCTTAGTGGGCCAAGCTGAAGGAGGCTGGGACGGTTGTCCTGGGAATGGCCCTTGTCTGGGGATACCCACCCTCTCACAGAAGGTGGAGATGCCCTCCTGCATGGCCTGGCGAAAGGCTAGCATCAGATCTGCTGGGTTGATTAAGACCCCTTGGAAGGTGTTACCCTCCCTGCGATCTCTGGGCCCAGGGAATGCGAATTGGAGGGCTTACAAACTCTGTCCATTCCAGCGTCGCGCTGCAGAGGCCTGGAGATGGCGACCGGATTCGGCTCCGCTTCTTCAAGATGGCCGCCGATCTTCGCCCGCCCAGAATTAGTGGGCCCTGCTTCTTCTTGCGGCCAGCAGTGTTTAAGTGCATGCTGCGCCGCCGGCGCCGCCTCTGCTGCGCTCGTTGGGGTGGCACAAACAAGCCCCGAAAGCAGGTAGGCCCCACTTCCAAGTTGCGCTCCACCCGCCACCGTGGTGAGCGTTGTCGCCTCGTCCCCCGATGAAATGTCTTCTGAGTGCTCGGTAGCCATCTCGCAGGCCCGACGAGCACCCGGGAGGGACTTGCCTCTCAACGTCTTCTGGCTCCAAGCAGGAGCAAGAAGGGAAAAAATAGAGTAAAAAGTAGAGGGAGAGAGGCAGAGAGAGAGACTCTGAGGAATAAAAGAGAGCTATATAGAACAAAATAGAATTGAAAGAGAAAGTAGATGGACAGAATCACAGAGCTCTGTCCCTAGCTGCTAATCCCTAAGAGGCAGAAACAGAACTGAGGGGCAGGGCTATTCCCAAGGTGCCAACAGGAAGGAGAAAAAAGTATTTCCTACCTCCCTAAAGGAATGATGGGAATAACCCATGGAGATGTCCTCCACCTCAGTGGGAGAATTACACAGCATAATTGCCAAGAGAAGAAATAAAATACAGAAAAGTAGGACAAAGATACAATTGCTAAATGGGGGGTGGGGCAGCGAGGGCAGCCTGACAAATTAGGAAAAGCAAACCAGAAAGTATCGGTAGTGCCTCTTATTAATACTTGAGGGTCCCAAAAGTAACTTTACTGTGTGTGGATGAGGAAGAGATCTCATTGAAGTGGTTATTTTACGTTGCCTCAACATCAAATGAAATGCAATGAACAGACTCTACAATAAATGTCCTTTGATTTATCAATGCTGCCTATGTGCAACTGGCTATGCAAACTGAACTGTGTCCAACATCTTCTCCATTCTAATTCTACACCAAATGGGAGAATAACAGAATCACAGAGTTGGAAGGGGACAAACAGACCATCTAGTCCAATCCCCTGCTCAAGGCAGGATCAGCCTAAAGCATCCATGACAAGTGTTTATCCAGACGCTGCTTGGAGACTGCCAGTGAGGGGGAGCACACCACCTCCCTAGGCAGCTGATTCCACTGCTGAGCTACTCTTACTGTAAAAATCTTTTCTAATATTCAGGGGGTATCATTCGGCCCTTAATATAAATCCACTATTGAGAGTCCTATTTACAGCAATTCAAATTCCAAGAAATAACCTTTTTAAATTATGGATAACACCCACACTTCATCAATGATTTGGGACCAACTATGAAAAACCTTTGATAACCGTTTGCAAAACAGGTTTCCTGAGCGTAAAGGTTCCCTTGCTCGAAAGCCAGTCGAATCCGACTCTTAAGGTTGCGGTGCTCATCTCCGTTTCAAAGCCGAAGAGCCAGCGCTGTCCGAAGACGTTTCCGTGGTCATATGGCCGGCATGACTAAACACCAAGGCGCATGGAACGCTGTTACCTTCCCACCAAAGTGGTACCTATTTATCTACTTGCAATTTCTTGCTTTCGAACTGCTAGGTTAGCAGGAGCTGGAACTAGAGATGGGAGCTCACTCCATCATGCGGCACCCGGGTCTCGAACTGCTGAACTACTGACCTTCCACAGCGTAGTCAGGCAATAAGGGCACCTCTAGAGTACTGGTCTCTGGAAGACTGATTAGGGTTCTTTCCTCGTTGTCTACCTTGTCTCCTGGTTTGAGATTGTTGAGTATAAGGGGGCCTATAACCCTGCTGCTGTGGCACAGGGTTATGGTATCTATAATCGGAGATACAATAGGATTTCTCCTGCTATAAGTATGTCTAGGGAAATACTTTTGCTCATACGCTGGTGCTGGGTTGCGTGTTATGCCCAGAGATTCAATAGTTATCTTTTTCTTCCTAATACGGTCCAAAAAGCATATCAGTTTGGTTGTTAAAAAGGTCTCAGCCTTTGGATGGGAGGTCTTCTGTCTTTGCACTTTTATCTCGTGGAAGGGCTGATGAGCACAGCTATGAGGGCCTTTGTATGACAACGCCAGAGGCCACCGGCCTGCTATTGCAGTCAGTTAGGTGCTGGGCTGCATTAAGCTGCTGCTTGCCAATTTTTTGCCTTCTGAAATTAGGACTTAACTATGTTTTGCTTATCCTCAGGCAGTAATTCTACAAACTATGTCATCTTTTCCCACAACAGCATTTGGAAACGAGAGAGATCACTTTTCAGTGGCAGAACAAGTAGTCACAGCCTTCCTCTCTAATCTTGTATAAATTCTCTAGTTTTTTCGCCGAGACAGGCACTGAAGCTAGTTTTGTCTAATTGGTCATGGCAATATCTTGTATCCCTTGAAGCATAGGAAGGTCTACTGGCCCTAAGTCGTGACTATACAAGACTTTCATTTTAGGGTCTGAAGGTTGCAGTTCTGCAGCGTGGTATTCTAACCCCAGTGCTTTAGCCATGTGTACAGAATACATCTTCAGGTCCTATGTCAGTGAGGGGGCTGTTGGGTTCCCCACAGTGTTATCAAGGGAGGGCACTGACGTGACCTCGAAACCCTTGGAGTCAGACCCTTGATGTGAGGATCCCAGCAAAGGTTGAAAATGTGTGCCATGGTCACTCTTTGATCTGGTGGAAGACATATGGGGCTGCCAGGGCTAACAGCTTTGCAAGGGGTTCCATGGACCCCACTGAGGTAGCATGATAAATGGGAACCAAGGATTTTTCTTGGTCGGCCACTGATTAGGAGGTTGATGCTTGGGTTGTCTCTTGGCCTGAGACATAGGAGTCAATGGTGGCACCTCAACCACTTCACCCTCCAATGATCTCAATGGCAAAGGCGTCTTCAGGCACGAAGACAGCTCAGTCTTGATACCCAATGGTGAGCCATGACATCGAGGGGACCCTGATCTGAAAATTGCTGGCATTGAGGACTCCAAGTTGAGTCAGACTGTCGGTGCCAAAGTGGAGATTCCTGTCAACGTAATCTTTGGGAAGATGGTGATGCTTGACCTTGAGGGAATGGGGACCATCGGTTTCAAAGTGAGAGTGTTCAATGCTGGTGGGATGGCAATCTAGACAAGCTATGGTGGAAGCGCTTAGCCCTTTTCTTAGCCTTTTTTGGAGGCGGCTTCTATGACAATCTCTGCATCGATGGCTGGCTTTGCACTTCTGACACCAATGGTGTCGGTGCCAACCTTATAGACTGAGCTCTCACTTCTTTTTCCATTAGGGCTCTTTTATCCCCTTTCTACCACAGTGCAGCTTTAAGTCTTGCTGCTCTAGCCTCTTGGGCTTTAGGGGTAAGCCTGTGCCAAGATGGGCAGGAACCGGTATTGTGGCCCTCTCCCAGGCACAGGAGACACGACATGTGATCATTGTTTGGGGCCATTTTTGCCCTGCAATCCCCACATTTTTTGAAGACGGCCATCCCATCTGCTCTTCTGATAATCTTTGAATAATTTTCTCTGGAGACCTCGTTCTGAGTGGGCCTCCAGAAGAAGCTCAAGGAAGCCTGTCCTCTCCCCATTGCGGCAAGAACTGAGGAAGAAGTGCTCCCCCTTCCTCTGTCACATGACCCTTTGGGCAGGAAAAGGGCTCTCTATAGGCAGAGGGGAGGAGGAGCACGCCTAGAGTCTAGAAATTTCTAATATAAGCTTGGAAGCTCCTCTCCGCAGCAGGCCTGCAATTATGCAGTCCCCAATGTGTGCCTGCATAAAACCCACAAAGATGAATGGAGGGTTATTGGAGTATGATGGCTTCTGTTTATATTTAGGGGAGGAAGAGAGAAATTCATGTTGCAGAAGTGGCATTAAAAGAAATTCTACAAAATATTAGAGGATATGATGGTTGTCCATACTTGGAAGGCAGGAAAACTCCTAACAGATTTCCCAAATCAAAGTTAACTGTATACAGAACGAGTGGCTTAATATATAGTTATAACTCACCATTTGAAAAATCTAATCAATATATCACTTTTGTAATCCAGGCTAAACATATAGGATAGAAGTCATAAATAAACCAGATCCTGCAATAGATTAAATGGCTTACCAAGAATAGACCAAACATACATGGACATTACATTATCAGTCTCCCATGCAGACAATAAAACCACCTCTGATCCCAAAGTAATTAATAAAAGATTTTACAGTACCAAAGCCAACTTTAAAAATCCATCCTGTAAAAATACATAAACACTGAAAATGTTGAGTAAAGTAACATTATGGAGAACAGACAAAACATTTGAACCAATTACATGATATTAGAAAGAGGAAAGGTTTGAGATTAAGAAAATCAAAAGGCAATACAAAATCTTCCTTGGAAATTCTCACAATATATATAGAACCAAAATATCCTACAGCACCATATTGATAGTTCTGGGTTACATTTTTAACGTCTTGAATGCTAACCCAAGTATTTTAGTCTTTATAACAAAAGTCATGTGGCACCTTAAAGCCTGGTGGATTTACTATAGCATAGCATCTTGTGAGCTAGAGCCCACTGTGTTACATACACGTGTTACATTCAATGTTACATGTCATACAACTAATGAACTAAGCTCTATTTTATGAAAACTGATACAACCAAAAATGGTTTCATCTTTAACATGCCACAAGAGCCTTTGTTGTCTTGGTCTCAGTAGAATGACAAGATTGCTAGTCTGTTACACTAGTCTTTATAGCAATCTAATTTTCATTGACTCAGTTATAATTTTTACCATTTGTCA